GCTGATGGCAGCGGCGCCGATGTGTTTGCTGCCGATTGAACGCGCTGGACGACAATGCTTTGTGCAACGACTGCTGCCAGGCCTTTGATCTTGGTCCAGATGTGCGCCATGACGAATGTATGGTGCTGTGCACGGAGCTCTTGGACGGTCCAGCCACGAGGTACATCCAACGGATCGATCGGCGTCGCCTCGATCAGCTGCATGATGATACGACCGGACGTCATCGGCGGAAACAGGACGCACAACGCGTCCAGCAGGTAGGAGAACTTGAAATCAGCCGCCGTCGGCACGTCTTTTCCAAGGCACGCCTTGTTGCCACGGAAAGTATAGATTTGATGTGGACGTCGAAGTGCGCGGATTGGGTTGTATCGGTCGAAGTAGCGCTCCGAGAGCGCTTGCAGGGTCAGTGCTCGCGCCATTCGCGTCGTTTCATGGAGATCTGATGCGCGTCGAAACTCGTGAGGTGCCGTTTCAACGCCGAGCCGAACTCGTGTCGGCTTCAGCAGCTCGAGCGGAGCATCAGGATTAAGCACGGTTGTGTAAAGATTGTACATCATCATGTACACGTCAATGATTACAAAGACATGCATTGACTGCGCCTTCACTTGGACAGCGCGGACTGGTTCAATAATCGAGTAGAACCCGAGGCATTGGACCTGGTCCTCATCCGTTAGCGGAAAGAAGCGCTGACAGTTGTAGTATGCGAGTTTCAGCGGGTCACAGCACAGAAGCAATCGCTCCAACACTAATGCAGTTGCAGACCAGCGGTGTTGCGGTGTATTAAGGAGCTTTAAATACACGCTGAACTTGTCAATCATAGCGGCCTCGAACGCGCCCTAGAGGTACTCGGATTTGTTCACGGACTCAATGACCTTCTTGATGGTGCGAAAAAATAAGCGAGCCAGCGCATTTTTAGACGCGACGGGATCGATTGCCGTGCCGAATGCATCCGTCAGAGCCAGATGCGATAGGTGAGAGATGCACCACTCCCATCAGGCGTCCATGAGCACCTGCAGCGTCAGTTTCACATCAGAACCGGAATCAGAGACGCTGGTCAGCACGTCACGTCGCACTTCGATGCCGAACTCAGACAAGACGCATTGCGACCATTGATCTAGGACGGCAGATGCCTTTTCGGCTAAGCGCTCGTCGGTTGTCGGAGCAAATCGACGTACGGCAAGGTTGTAGCCAATGTTAGCTTGACGCCTTGTGTTGAAGCAGACGCGCAACGCTAGGTACTTCTCGTTGCTTGTTTTGCTTTTAATGAGGTCCAAGTTCAACTACATGAATGGGATTGTGTAGTAACGACGCGCCTTAGCAATTTCGGAGACAATCGTGCGCTTGATTGTCTCGTACATCTTGACGTGGTGCTTCTGCATGTTGATGGACTTCAACCCACCCGGTCAAACAGGCAGTTGCTTGGCAAGCAGACGCCAACGGTCTGTCTGGAACGCATTGTATGGAATGGACTGCTCGACTGACCATGCCCCAAGCTGAACCTAGCAAAGCAGATGTTGAAAGTTATGTCAGTTTGAACGTTGTTAGATAACACATCCGCCAGAAATCGTTCATTAGTGTACCTGAAACCATCGACGCGGGTCTTGCAGGAACGCATCCGATGACAGGTCCATCTGCTCAACCAAAGCAGCGACTCCGCGATTCTTGGATTGCGTCTTCGAGGACTCAACGCCGTGTTTCGTCTTCAGGTGCTTTGTCGCATTCGATGTGCTCTTCTTAGTACATTTGATCACAAGCGGGGCGCTGACGTTGTAGCATCTGTCGAGCAGACACATGAAATACTCGCATCCATCAGCGTCTAGGATGCGGATTCCACATTGATTCAACAAGGACGTGCCAGTGCGTGGAGCCTTCTTGATCGTAGCGCCTGCGATGTTGGACGGAAGCCTTGGGCTGTTCATAAACTCAGCGATGCGTTCCTTCACGATGCTGACTTCAGCTGCAACCTCGTCTCCTCCGTCTCCCGACTCATCGATGCAATCGGCGCCGTCCTAGTCGCTCAGGACTCCATTGTCGTCATCGGCGAGATCAATTATGTCGAGCTCGGAGAAGGCTGTGTCTTCGTTGTCGCCAATGCTTGGGGCGTCGTCGTCAGACATCCGGCTCAGGAGTGGCAGTGACAGCTTGTGAGTTGTGACAGGTATTGATCAGAGTCAAGAGCTGAAGTCACCAATAGCCAAGAGCGAATCGGCAAGCAAAGAGATAGATCGTCACACTTGTGACTTGTGCTAGTGCAAATCTGCGCGCACGTGGACTCAGTCAGCTAAGAAGGTTCCCAGCATCCAAGCGCGCACTTGCGCTCGCTCTCGCAGGAAAATCAAAGCGGAATGTGTAGGCGAGTACCAGTCCTCGCGCACAGCTATAGCTAGCTGCTTTGTATTACAGAGCCATTCGCGCACGACTATAGTTAACTACGATATTTCCGGCCCTTCGTCGTCCACAACTATAGTTAACTTAGAAATTCTTCAAGGAGTATCGCGCACAACTGCGGCAACTAACGGCCCTTAGCTAACTAAAAGTTGGTTCGCGGAGTTAGTCGTAAAAGGTCTGCACTCTTCACTCTATAGAGCAAATCAGTAGGTTATGAGAACATGGCTGAAGTTGGCCGTCCAATGGTAAAATGAAACTTCATGGATACCTTCGAGAAGATTGAATTTCCAAGGGGTCCATAAAGTAATTTTCTCTTGTTATATATGGCATACATATCTAGAATAATACACATATAAGTAAATATAAAAAAATACTACCCTAGCTACCTGGAAAAAGTATATGCCTATCACCGCTAAAGAAGATCCCCTTGTGAAGACAAGGGGACCTTCGTTCTTCAATGCGATGACAAAGGCGTCCTCAAGTATTCGCGAGTAAGCTGCTTTCTAGGACAAGACCACTTCAATTCGATTAAGCATTACATCATGCCGCTCTAACATCGAGATCGTTACATATAGATTAACATAGAGATGTATGCCTATCTCCGCTCTCACAACTTAGCACTAATGGTGACATGACCAACATTTTCTAGATTCCTAAAACACTTATATACTTTCTAATGTTAAGTACATTTTCACGATACTAGTATATTTACAAATTTTACCATAACGGTATCATCTCATGCCTACATTGTAAAAGTGAATCAGGCATTCTACATACTCTACTATTTGAGTACGAAGTGTAATATGATCGTAGAATGTTTTGAAAATTTTCGAAATGAAGTACATTATTCCAACTCTTTCGCAACTTGCATTGGTGGGACGGAGACAAATGTCTCTCTATGCATAGGGGTTAGAGTGTCTCATAGCGTTATTTAATTTTTTTTATTCTTTACTACAGTTTGACCTTTACGATTTAGGTTGTTAATTTTCGTTCTAGTATTATTGGCACTAGTTCAATTTTTTTTCTTTATTACAGTTTGAACTTTATGATTTAGGTTATTAATTTTTGTTCTAGTATTATTAGCACTAGATTTTTTTTTTCCTTTACTATAGTTTGAGGTTTATGATTTAGGTGGTTAATTTTCGTTCTAGTACTATTGGCACTAGTTAAAACTTTATAGGGACTTTAATTGTTTGTATTTTATTATTTTAGACTTTTGATCCTTTGGGTCTCAAGGCTTGATCTATTTACCATTATATATTTTTAGGCATGGTTGTATTAGGTGACCGCATACGATCGCCTAAATTATTTACACTTTCTGGTGATTAGCATCTAAATTAGTATGAGTGTGATTTGACGCCCACATGTTGCAATCAATGGAAAGTGGACACCTATGTAGAATTGACGGATTTTTTTAAATATCTTTTCTAAATTAATGTAAAATTTTTTAAAAATATCACCATTTAAATTTTTTTAGCAAAAAAAATTTGCAGGAAACTAAATTAAAATTTTAAATTTTAAATTGACCTAAATTAACTTTTTAAATAAACTAAACTAATTATGTTGAAAATAGTAAATTAACTGAATATAGGTAATTTAGACGAATGACTATTATATCCCATTGTGATACCATATAAGAGTAACTAACGGATTACCAGCTGGCGGGAGAAGAAAAACAAGTGCCACCTCCACTTTCGGCAGAGGTTGTACAACGAACGAACGTCAACTGCACAGTGGCTACAGACGGCGTAAAGCGAAATTCAGGGCGTTAATACTTCGTCGAGGTAGACTTGGACTACAGTAAATTCCACAGTCACAATGCACTGTAGTGCGTGCAAGGGTTAATTTCCACAAATGCCAGTGGAATGCTGCAGGCGTGCTTTCGAAGATTATGGACCTGTGTCGCCACACTGCTGTGTCCACATTCTCCGAATCCCACCAAGTCAAGAGCTCGATTGCAGGGGATACTGGAGTACCTTCTCCTTAACCCTTCACTCACTTCACTTCCATTCCATTCCACGAAGAACACCCGAATTGCTCGCCAGAGGCAGAACTTCTTGAGATTCTGGAGCTGCATGTTTATGTTCGGATCGGACCAAGACGTTTGCTGTGCGATTTGTTGCGTCAAGGTGTAGGCTTTTTACTACGCATGAATGCGTCGAGGAGGTTGAGCACAACCCCTGCATGTTCGCGCTCACGATGAAGCTGACGCAGCTGTTAAACTGTTTCCTTCAGGGGTGACATGCATGACCATGAATTGCGACCATACTGTTTTCCGAAGATTCTGGACACAGTTTGACCTGCCCGGCAGGGCCTGTCTTGTTCGTCGTCTTGCATCGAACACGTGATCGCGGTTCTCTGGTCGAGAAAATTATCGTGAGGCCCCGAATTCCCGAATTCAATGGTAGTTCCATATGAGACGAGAGAAAGGAGGCTATCAAATCTTCAAAAGACAATAACCAGTTTTACCTGAGCGGCTGCGAGTGGTTGACTCTTCGTGACCTCGTGACCTCGTGACCTCGTGACGGGTTTCACGCAAAATCAGCGACCATGCATTCTGTGTTGTCGCCCAGTCAATCGGCGAGTGGGACGGCCTGCTCTGCTCAGACTCCACAATGACAAATTACACTTTTTGATGATTGCCATTCATAAACCATAATGCAAAATTTTCATGTCATATATCGTTTGTCGATTCGGAAGTTCAAGTATAGACAGGAGTTCCAGCTGAACTGAGAATTCTCGTGGATTGAAAAATCTCAAAGGCAACGATGCCTGGAAGTTCACTGCTGTTCGCAACTCTAACATATGAATGGATGACAAGCTGGTCATCGACAAAGTTACTCCAGCTAAGCAGTCTCGCACTACAGCAGACTAAGTTGTGCCCACAAGAAGCAGCTGCCCGTCAGAGCCATTTATCGGAAAGAAATGGGAACTGGAGTTCTATACACGCTGTCCATCTCGGTGGAATATGGCGATGGCACGCAGAGACAACTATCTTACATGTTAGCAGTCTACCTCTAAACGAATGTACAGCTCTACACACCTATCACAACTATCTAGCCTCTGATCAAATTTCATGTGCTTCTTCACCATGGGAAGATATAGAGATTGCGTCTCGCTCTTGAGAAACACATGCCAATGCACCATCAGAGTATTCGTCACTCACCCGCATCGTATCACGAGGTCTACAGATAATCAAATAGAACAGAGTAGAATATACAACATTAACGATTTTTGACAAATTTGTGCCCTCATCGCTGTCGGCTGATCGTCTTTCGGATCGAACGACGGGAGTATGCTACCCAAGACGAAATAAGCGCTCCGGGTGAAGCATCCTCGAATTCAAGAAACTCGAAGGTTTGTACAGATGGATTTGTCGCATGATTTCACGGCTACTCTTTCTTGGGCCCTAGGCTTGTGGAGCTTGTCCCTGTACCCCCATTTGTTGAATCCGCAGCTTGAAGCTCTCGTCGAAGTTGGGCTGCTGCATCCCGGCTGGCGAAAGAGAAGGAGGCAGGAGACACAGGAAATCCTATTCCGTGTCTTGTAGTAGGAAGAGCAACAAACACGGCGCTGACGAAAAATCCCACGAATGCTGGGACAATTCGTACCACATTTTCTTGAAGTTTTGGGTAGAGACATGCCCGAATGTTCGGTGTCATGAGCGAGCAGGCAGCGAACACCGCCAGTGAGAGAACAGCATGAACGACGTCGATGAAAGTCAGCTTGTACTGCTCTTTATCTCCAGGATGCAAGACCACAGGCAGCTGCGGAGTCCACAACCCCTTGAGCGTCACAATCCCATAATAAACCTGGCCATCTGCTGCTTGATAACTGTCAGTGAAGCACGAGAAAACGCAGAAGAGCGCAAAGAACACTATCGTGACAATGGTGAGGTTCAATTCGAAAGCATCGTCGCAAGTCCCATTGTCGGTAATGATGGGAGCGATGGCCGTAAATGCCAGAAATGTCCCGGTGGGCAAGAGGTTGGTCAAATTCGACGCTCCACTGTACAGCCCGTTTACGAGATTCGCCCAAGGGTTGTTCTTGTCTGCAACGACGACCTCGGACCCATTGCCAGCCCTGGCACCACCGCGCTGAAGCAAAGGATCGCTTTCTTGGGCGCTCGATGTCGGCAGCAAAGGGTCCGAAATCTTACTGGAGCCCGTCATCGCTCGAGAACTCGATCTTCGCAAAAGGTCCGGGGTTCCTGACGACTGCTGCTCTTTGCTCATAGTAATCGACAAGTAGCTCCACCGCAAGACCGCACCGAGCTGATCAGACGCAAGCCACGCCGTCCCTACGCGAGAGCTCCTGATCCGGCTTGCACGTTTCGTGGTCTCTGTGACGGCGCCCTTCGCACTCACTCTCAGGCAACGAGCAAGCAAGCAAACCAGCAAGCAACGACGGCCTTGCACCTCGACTCGGACAAGAGCTTTTGCTCTTGCTTCTGATTCGGACGAGCGAGCAATTCACGGAATCGAACGCTTGTTCAAGCCAAGAATCTCGAGGGCAGGAAGCGGGCTCGGGCGTGGGGATTTTGAATCTCGGGGCTGAGGGGCGGGCACGGGCACAGGCTCGCGCATTTCTTTAGATTTATTTCACTGTTGAGCTCTCCGGTTGCTTCCGGCAGCTGGAGCTGCAGATGGAGCTTCACCCTGCGGCCCGTGACGTGCTTTCCATCTTTCTGCCGTGTCGTGATCAGGAAGTTTCAGGAACCGCCCGCCCTCCCTCCCTCCATCCCGATTTCCAGGCTTTTCCTTAATCACGCGTCAACATGATTAACCTCCAAGCGCCACCATGTCCAAAGCGGATCGCTTCGATCCTCTCAGCCGGAAGACTTTCTTCTTCCACCATAAATCGCTTTCCATCCCGTGGAGTGAGTGCTCCAAGGCAGCGTTGCTTCTTGATTGAGCCTGATGGGGAATTTCAGATCCCTCTTGGCTTCGGCGATCGTTCAGTTTCTCACGCTGCTGTCCTCCGTACGTGGTCCCATCGACGTTCGGATTCCCCGCCGAAATGTGATACGAAGTCCTACACTCTGCCTTGGAAAAGGTGATATCTTTCGGTAGCCGTGATTGCGATGCCTTCGCTCCATAACTCCAAAGAAATTTCGAACCATTCGATAATCTATTCCGCTTTCGCCTGATTACGTCGTCGAGTGTCGAAGCGTCTCGAACACGCATCGTCCCGACAAATTATTCCGGATGTCGGAGGAGGCCGCAGTCACCGAGATTGCAACATCCGAAAGCCAGGACTCGTTTCTGCCTTCTCAGACTGCACGTCTCCTCTCCCTGCTCTTCTTCTGGTCCACCAACTCCGCCTGCGTCCAGTTACAGGCCCATGTGAAGGTTCGACAGCATCGAGATTTTGGTAAAACCTTCGTCGATTCCTGGACCACTTCCCTGCGGAACATCAAGGTTGTCCTACAATTACTGATTTACTTGACATGAAGGGCATCCATATCTGTTCTGGAAGTGAATCAATACACTATCTCCGAACGATAATTGCAGCCGAAGCTGTTGGTTGTGGATGCTCTGGGCCTTACTGAACCGCTGCTGCTGTTGGTTGTGGATGCGCCCGTCACTCAGAGATACAGAGAGTGAAATTTCAGGAGCGGTCAGAGGCAGTGTAGAAGGAAGTATATTTGACTGTCCAATTTCTGTAGACAAGTTCTATTTCGTTTGTTTGCCTTCCTTCCAAATACCAGATTAGTGAGATTTGACGAGACGATAGCTCCATGTGATTGCAGCAGAGCTCACATGGGCCAGTACATTTGCGATGGCAGCTGAAATCCCATAAAAAATTGCATGAATCTGCTGTGTATGCAGCTCAGCAACAACGATGGATTCGATCTCCTTTGTAGCTGACACAACGCATGTGGTCACAACTTTGCCAGATGAAGAGCAGCAGACGACCCAATCATTGTCGCGTTTGAGCTGTCACACGGGAGCCAAATCACAATGGGGGCCAAATCATCTACCCTAGCCACACCGGAGGATATTTAACGGGATCTGAGTCAGTAAAGCTCAATCCATGGTTCTTCGATGCTAATTCTGCCCGCAAAATGCTGTTGTTAAAGAATTAGAATTCTGATTTCCAGGCTTTCACTTCTCTCTCAGCTCTTTAAGAATCCACTTCGCGCAATTAGAATCCCCGCGCTAAGAATTACAATAAGAACCCAAAAATCCTAACGTTTCACTTTAGGTGCATGTACCACAACTGAGACAATTAACGGGAATGAAGAGGTGTGAAGCCTTGTATGTACTCGGGTGACAAGGACTAAATCTTTTTGCAAAATGCGTTTCAAATTTATGTGGTTAATCTCAAAATGGCCATCTCTGAATCTTGAAACCCAAGCATTATCTCAATAAATTGTATTATCATAGCAGAACATACTCTTTGCTTTTGTTTTTGCTTTCTTATTGTTCTTATTCTTCCATTCACCAAATCGACTAATCTTTCTATAGCCGATTTATTATGCAATTTCCAACAAAAGCTGCTGAAGTGATCTCCAATCCAATCTGATGTACCGAATAAAGATTACTTTTTTTAAGCCTGGGTGCGAATACTAAGGATTTCCGAGATATAGCCAGTCAAATAACCCAACTCAGGTATGTATAACCTTTTTGATGGTTCCATATAAGTATAGCAAGACCGCAAGTATAGCAAGTATAATTAGTTGGTTATCCTCTCGGTCAGGTCATGATTATTGTTTTTTGGAATAAAAAGTGAAAGAGTTCAACGACGGCGAGGTTGTATTGCTAGCTCCTGAATGGATTAGGTTTACAGTCACGGCATATCTTCTCAAAATCAAAAAGCATGCGGGCACTCTGGTCCTTCAGGTCTAAAGAAAAAAGTTTTATTTTACTTTGCTTTGGGAGTTTCGGAATTTTTTAGAAAGTCCATATGACAACCGAGTGCATCAGCCTTTTTATTTTTTATTTTTATTTTATTTTTTAAATTGAAGGATATGCTAGCCAGTAAGGTCCGTTTATTATGAGCCTTGGTGCTAAGCTACAAATGAAGAGCGTAAAGTCTACCAAATACTATTTCGTAGAAGATAATTCATTATCTCCCCCCATGCTTTTCCTAATCTACAGAAACCTTGAGTATTTCGTGCCTCAAGCATGGGCCGGGGCAAAGGTTCTCGTTTACATATGGTATTATTCATATTATGTCTCTTCTGTTAACACCCCCCTCCCCCTCCTTCTTCGGGCCATAAGGGTTCGGGTTGATTTTAGTTTGGCTGCATTTTTCTTGATCAGCCATGAATTGTCATTGTTTTGACAAAAAAAAGGAGTAAACGGTTATGCTAGAAGGTGCAAAATTAATTGGAGCAAGAGCAGCTACCAGAGCTTTAGCGGGAGCTGCTGTAGGTATTGGAAATGTTTTTAGTGTGCGCCTCGGTAGAGCGCGTTTGGATCAGCGAAGGTTAACAGATTATCGCACGGCCTTAGCCCTAACCTGTAGCGGGAACAGACCGCAGGGAACCATAGCATGGGTTTCGGCTGAGTTTCGTCGCACCGTGTTCACGAGTGCTGAAGAGTCAAGCGTTACTCCCTCCAAACGAAGGAGGCCCGGAAAGCACTAAGGTGTTTAGGTCATGAATTAGTTTTATCGCAGTTATCGCCTTAAAAAGGGTTTATTTTCTCAACGTGATTAGAATTTATAATCTAAAGTGAATCTCTAAGAAAGTAAATGTCTAGGAACGAAAACAAGTTATGTCGTTACAAAAAAATGATTGAAGTCATTTGGATCAAATTTATTTACAGTTAATCGGAACAAGCATTCTAATGATTGATATCATAACTCTTTTCAAACATATCTCTACAGTTATTTTTACAGAAAACATAATTAAAGTCTTAAGTACATATTTAGAAGAATATCACTAATTTTGAATAATCAATCCCAACGTTATTAGATTAGAATAAATCAAAATACATGTATCCAAGTTGAAAATTATGCTGTGTGAGATTATTGCATAAAGAAGTGTGTATAAATGTGCATCAGACGAACTCACCGTTCAACTAATTTAAAATTTTGAAAATTATATGCTTGTTATGCATACATACTTAAAATAGTAATTTGGGAGTGAATTTTGATTACTTATAGTCAACTCAAGCATTACGACACCTAATGATCTGATCGATTACATTCAGTCAAAAGATACATAAAATAATCCCAAGAAGTTTGTCGTTCCCTAATCAATATATATCTCTTTTCTCATGGATTCATTCCGACTAAGTCAGCCAAAAAAAATAATCGATGGTATATGTCGATTATCAACACATCGCTTTCTTTCTTGCATTGAGGTTGGATTGAGAAGCACATTTGTGCCACAAGAGGAGTGTGCATTGATATGGTCGAAGATCAGAGCAAGCTACTTGATTGGATTTAATGGAGAAATATACTACTAGAAGTAAATGTGAACCAATAGTAGGAACATTACAAAATTTTGGTAATTAAATATTTTATACCTTATGGTTTGTGATAGTAAGAATCGGTTTGAAGTGTTGCACGCGTTATTCATCATCTCAATAGGCTCTTGGTAACCGTTAGCTGAAGATCTCCCATGTTTTGAGCATCAGTTGGAATGCACTGGACCACGAATAGTCTTCGATTGGTGAAAATAGTTAATCAATATCATTAAGTACAATTTTAATTCTAATGAAGATGATTATATAAGGAATCATTAATACACAAGTTTTGTGAGTATAGTTTATTTTTCAAGTATTATAATGTTTTTACCCCATTAGTTGGAGAAATTGATTTATATTAAAGATTATATTAGCATCTATGTTCTAGAAATTTTTGGTGAAATAGTTTCGTAAATCAGGTATTATGGTTGTTTTACTTACTTAACTGGTGTTGTTGTAGATACAACATCAGAAGAACGTACTAGTGGACAAGAAGTGAACCATTCCACCTCAAACAGACTTGCTCCAGCAATCTATCATGATATGCTCCCGCCCTCTCGCCATTCTCATGATATCTATGCATGTTCATAGTTCAGAGATCTTCCACTAGAGCCTAAAAGACAAAGAGTTTACCTCTCTATGTAGGATGAGATGGGGACGAAGTGGCTAACAACTAAACAGTAATTTTTTAAAACATCATTTGCAATATACCCACTCTGAAACTTGGAAGTGATGATTGGATGTGGACTTGGAAAAATCCGTGGTCCCGCCATCCTTGGACTCGGTTTAGCTCCCCGTTGTTAATTCACCAATGGTAACACAACATGGTTGGTGCTCGCAAAACCTGCGAGCACTTCTAGGAGATACACAGATTTCAGGATGAGGCGGTTTAGTAAAAGCCAGAATAGTATCGAGATTATAACCGCCAAATTCCCTGCAGGTTGCAACAATTTACTGGTTCACATAACAAATGCTGAGAGAGAGGTGGTCACATACACTCAGATCTGAACGCGGATCAGGTGCACATGAAACGCATTCTCAGCAATGGGACTATTCTTGACCAGCAAAATCATGCACGAATCCATCGTACTCTCATCCGGATGCGACTCTGTTTCCAAAGTTTGTACCTTCTCCTCATTCTTCGCATGCTCCGGTCCATGCTGCAGAGATCCCGAGTTCGTGATATTCACTAGAA